TTACTCAGGTAATATTATTTTCCTCCTCAAGTCTTTGATGGGGTTGAAGACTAGATAGTTACAGTCACAATCATTTCGTATCTTAGGTAAGAGCATATTAGGTATTAGATTTATATTCTTCAGGATAGGACAGCTTTTGGAATAACCTCTGTAATTTGCCATTTACCTGTGTTCTGGACATTTAGTATGTTTCTTACTTGGTGTTGTTCCAGTTGGCTGTGGTTCCATTTTGTGTATGTCATCACCCTTTATTTATCCTGAACAATACTTGATAATTGTTCTTATCGTATAGAGTTTGTATTAGATTTAGAACCTTCTTATTAGACAAAAAGGGAAAGTGTAGTGATATTTGCTCCATCCATGACCTTGGGCTATCTAGCCCCAAAGAGGTGATGCTTCTTGTCTGCGTACATGACCTCTTGCCTGGGTATGTGACCTCTTAAAAGGAAAGAAGGAGGGTTCATGCTGCACCATCAGACACCGGATGGCCAGATGCATTCACTCCTGGGCAGAACAGAGGACAACTTCAGCTGTTTACTAGGTTCTGTATTCGTGAGTGTATTTGCCCAGTTTACATCTTAATAAATCCCAATTATCCATTAAACAGACTCACGTGGATTGATCTTAACAGATCATGTGGCAGAATGTGTGGGGTGGGACTTGCTTACATCATAAATCAGAGAGCAAAAGAGAGAAAAAATGTCAACCTGCCACAGTGTCCTTTAAGGGCACACCCTCCATGGCTCAAGGACCTGCTACAAAACTGTACTTCTCCAGGGCTTCACTAATTCCCAATAGTACCCCTTGGGGACCAAGTCATTAACACACAGGGTTTTTTGGGGCGGGGAGGGATACAACCTCAAACTCTAGCAGCAATTAACAGTTGTTAGAAAGAAGGACAGCTCTGTAGTCAAGTTTGGGGGATATAAGAGTGAGTAGGGGTGGATCAGAGACAGGAAATTGGTGTGGCTTCTGGTCACTGGAGTAGTTCTTGGTCCCACATCTGCTGTGGAGCTACTGACTGTAATGGGTGAGAACCTGGCCTGATCTGAAAACTTTATCATTAAGTGTCGAGTGTAAAGCTCTGACGTGGCCATCTGGAGACTCTCTCCCATGTACACTGCTGTAATATCCAGCCGGGAGAGGATCCCCAAGGGAATGTCATACAGCCTGGCTCTTCTTCTCCAGAGACAAACAAACAGACAAGCAAACAAACAAAGCAAACCTATCACACTAACAATACCTTAGCTTAAGATGAACAGGAATGAAAAGTCTCTCCTAAAATGACGCCAACTGAATGCTAATGCACCTGCTGGACCCATATGTTGAAGCTCTAAGGCCCAGTGTGGTGGTATTTGGGGATGGGGCCCTTGAGGGGTGAGTGGTTAATACTAGGCGAGGCTCTGTGGGACAAGGGCTTTGTCATGAGATTAGTGTTCTTTCAAGAGGGAGAAAATTTCACACGAGTTTGTGTCCTTGAGTTTTCTTGGCCAATCAGCAGAGCAAGACTGATAGTTACCTGGTAAGAAAGGGTAACCTTGAGGATCAGTGACCATTTGGGTTGTCTGTTTGTCTGTTCTGATTGGCAAATGGCAATGTTTTAAAGGTTATATCATCTGTCTACACCAGCCAGGTGGACCAACATTCAGACATGTTGCTCAGACATCTTTGTTCCAGGGGCTCTGGGGGGCTGGACTGTGGTCTCTGCCTCAGGTTTTTTAAACTGGATTCCTTATGTTTTGTGTTTTAGCACTGTGAGGAAGTGCCTAGAAGTCAGAAATTAAACTTACTGAACATTAGGATGAGTATGTCTGTGCTGGGTGGTGCCTTTCTTCCCACAAGTAATGTGTTTTGAATTGAAGACATTCTGTGGTCAAACAGCCCTCAGGAGCATGGACTGGTGATTGCTGAAGACTTCCTTATGTAATATTGCTGAAAAAAAAATTCCCAAGCTGGGAGTAATCTTGAAGTAAATTTAAAAGTTCTCCCAAACTCTCCACAATGCCCAGAGTCAGGACAGTGACAAGAGACTTCATACTGCAGGGAATTTGCTACCACCCCTGTAGCTGGGGTTATCTCCAGTCCCACCCCAGGCCAGCAGCCACTCAGACCCAAATAAACCAACAACAACAGTCATTGTGATTGGTTCTGAGTGGACACAAGACTCAGAAAACCCAATTAGAGCGAATCTCAGGGGCTCTGCTTTGAACGCTGTGCCTTCTCTTTCCTACTGGATGTAAGTGAGGAATTCCACAGCCTGGAGATGCCTTCATAGCTGTCTTAGAACCATAAATGATACAGGGCAGAGACTAGAAAAGAAGAAACCAGGGGCTGAGGGGCTTTGTTAAACTGTAAAATCAAGCCTTACCTGAAGCCTCCAGATTTCACAGTTAGGTGAACCCACACATTTCCTTTACAGGTGCCAGTTAAATTAGGTTGAGGTTTCTATTATTTGTAACAACAGCAACAACGATTTGTGGCTTACTCATAAGACAATTGTATAATAATCCCAGGAGACCAAGGACTGCCAGCAAGCTGAGAAAACTAAATTCTGTGTCCACTCCTCTCTGGCTGGGCCTCAGCTTTGTCTCCATTGTGCCAGAAGGAAGCTGGACTTGCTCAAGCTTTAAGATTCCCTGAATTCAGTCTTCTATCTGACCTGTTGTGAGCAGGCTTCTTCTTCTAACAGGTCTTTCCTTTCAGCTTCTGGATGGAATCCTTGAAGTGACTGCTGTGGCTCACTTATCCCCTTTATATGCTCTCTTATGAAGATGCTGCTGATTGGCTGTGGTTTCAGTGATTCTTAAGGGTTCATCTGTTAGAAGCTTGGTCCAAGGCCTCAGAGGTGATACAGAGGACTGGTAGAACCTTTAAGAGATGGATCATCAGGTTCCTGGGGCCACTGCTCTCAGAAGGGATCAGGGTAACTTGTTGTGGAATATTATTTTAAGATGTGCTACATTCGTTCATGCTGTGGAACATTTGTTTAATGATGCAAAGATGTGTTGCATTCTTTTATGCTGCATTTCTTTAACTCTGTGAAGCTGTGTTACTGTGCCTGTCTAAAACACCTGACTGGTGTAATAAAGAACTGAATGGCCCATAGCTAGGCAGGAGAAAGGATAGGCAGGGCTGACAGGCAGAGAGAATAAATAGGAGGAGAAATTTGGAAAGGAAGATCGAGGAGAAAGAAAAAAAGGGGCCAGCCACCCAGCCACACAGCCAGACACAGAATAAGAAGGAAATAAAAAGATATACAGAAATAGAAACAGGTAAAAACCCAGAGGCAAAAAGTAGATGGGGTAATTTAGTTAAGAAAAACTGGCTAGAAACAAACCAAGCTAAGGCCAGGGATTCATAAGAAATAATAAGGCTCCATGTGATTTATTTGGGAGCTGGGTGTCAGGCTTCTAAGAGCCAAAAGAGAAAAAAACAAAGGAAGAAAGAAAAAAGAAAGAAAGAAAGAAAGAAAGGAAGAAAGGAAGAAAGAAAGGAAAAACAAAACAAAACAAAAACAAACTAACCAACCAACCAACCAACCAACCAAACCAACAGCAGGCACCCCTGTGGTAGTTGTTTGCTTTGAGATAGACTCTCATTATGTAGCCCAGGCTAACCTCAAACTCATAATTTTTCTATCTCAGTCTTCCAAATTCTGGGATTATAGGTAAACTTCCGTGTCTGGCTCATAGTAATTCTCACTAATGGCTACTTAAAAAGCACAAGCCCGCTCCTGCCCCTGCCCCAGTCTCTGCTGGTTTAAAATGTGACTCTCTGCTCCCACAGTGCTCCTACTTGGATGTGATGTCATCTATCGCCTTCCCTAAAGGCCAAAACCACGGAGCAACTTCATCTTGAAATGCCGAGTTTCTTAAACTGACCTAAAGAAATGTCCTTTCTTCATACCCAAGCTGCCCTGAGAATTTTGTTACAGTAACACAAAAGCTAATTCACAAAAGATGTATCAGTTCTTCTTCCTAAAGAACTTCCTTTTACTTTTCCTTCTTTTCCATAATCACCAACACCACTCCTGTCCAGCCTTCGGCATGTCCCCTGCATCCTCTTAGGCTGCCTGCTCCTTCAAAACTAGATATCCCCATAGTCTTTGAAAACCCTGCTAAGTCCCCTACTAAGAGTGAAACAAACCTCCGTGGCTCACCAAGGCAGCCATTACAGCTCTCTAACCAGAGTGACCCACAGGTTCAACCGGAACCTTGGATAGACCACCACCTCCGTGAGGATGAGAGCCTCAGGCATAAACTACCCGTCTAACCCTTTCCAGCAACCTTCTTAAAGAGCTGTCTACAGCTGAGCGTAAAATCCTAGACCTGTGTTTCAAGGGAATATTATCCTGGTAAATACCAAAGGCCAGCGGCCTCAAAGCTAACAATGCAGGCCCCAGAAGCCCCATGTCCGAGAAGAACGTGTAGCGCTTTCAGATGTCATTGAAAGAAACAAAATGTATGCCGTGTGTGGGGTAACTCAGAAACCGCGGGCATTTTAAACTTCTGTGACTTTGACATAACAACAATAAAACGGATCCTGGGTAACATCTAACTACTTCACTCTTCAAAAAATACAGGAGTGTTCAGCATGTTTTATTGGGACACTTTATAGTAGGAAGCTAAGGATTAGAGTGACTAAGAGGAGACATTATTCTCTATTTTATTTTTAAATAGGAGAAACCCTGTGTGTGTGTGTGTGTGTGTGTGTGTGTGTGTGTGTGTGTGTGTGTGTGTG